AGAACTGAGCCCTGGGGTATCCCACTGCTCACATTTCACCAGGTTGAGTACAACCCGTCCACCACTATTCTCTGGGTGTGCCCCATCAGCCAGTTTTTTACCCATCCAACTGTGTAGGCATCAATGCCACAGTCGCTTAATTTATTGATGAGGATGGGGTGAGAGACAGTGTCAAAGGCCTTCTTAAAGTCTAGAAAGACTATGTCCACAGTGACACCATCATCCAAGAATTTAGTTACTTGGTCATAAAAGGCAATCAGGTTGGTCAGGCAGGACCTGCCTTTGATGAACCCATGCTGATTGCCCCTGAGCATGATCTCCCTTGCAGGCCCCCCACAGATGTGCTCCTTGATGATTCTCTCCAAGATCTTCCCAAGCACCGAAATGAGGCTTACAGGCCTATAGTTACCTGGGTTTTAGATCCCATTCTGGAGGGTTGACATCTAAAAGTTAGGCACTGTAGCACCTAACTTGTAAGTGCCTGGGTCTTTTAACAGATTCTTTTTCCAGGCCCCATATTTTCTATCAATTGAATTACCCTTATATAGTCTCATTACGGTATATTAGATACAGGTGTTCAATACCATTGGACATAGTGGAGTTATGCACGTATAGCTGCCATACAATTTGCCCTACCGAATTTTGTCATCATAGAGATGTGAGAAGCCAATGATGCAGCTTGACTATCAAACCCCATGTGGAGTGTTAAGGAATGGAATCTGTTAAAGAAACAAACAATCAAAACTTTTTTTCCAGACTTGTAAACTAAGAGGATGTTGTCAGAAAACAGTGACAAAACATTTTTATACAGCCATTTTTTAGTTAAAAATTTATTTAAAAAGACAACCGATCATCTTCATAAAACCTAGCATATTACAGTACATGTAACAGAATTCAAAATTATTAGATAGTACTAAAGAAATCACATTTGTTTGATTCTTCCATACTCCAGTGTAAATTAAACCAGGGTGTAATAATAGCTGTCTGTGTCCTGCACTCCAAGCTTCTTTTTTTTTTTTTTACCATGTAGGAGATTTTCCTTCAGCTTTTTTAAGCCAGCAAAAATGCTTTCCCAACAGCTTTCATATTTAAAACTGTGAAAATACTGTTTGATATCAGATGTCAAGGAGGGAAAGTATTTGGAACAGGAGCTACAACAGAAGTTAATCTTTTCCTCTAAGGTGTTCAAGTATATAGACAGCAAAAATTTAGCACAAGCTTGTGATTGTCTTCCAAGATAATAAAGGGCATATGTTTTTATTGTGGATCTAAAGTGAGTGGCCCAAGGGAAGAAAGTATGTAGAAGCAACCATGACAGCTCCTTCCTTTTGGCATTTTGTTTATGCAGACAAACCGGGTCAGATCTACACCTAGTGAAAGCTGGCCAAGTTTCATTGCAATCAGTGGACCTGTGCTCATCTGCACAAGGAGGATCGGTAATGAAGTTAGATAATTTGGTCCTGTATACTGGACTAGGCAAATAATATACATTTTAATGGTTCCATTTATTTATTTAACCAACTCAAGTGTTCACTCATATGCTCATAAAAATGTCTTTATGCCACAAAAGTGAAGTGGCAAATAGCTTGATCTTAAAGGTACAACTGCTGTGACGGAGAAGTGAAGCAGAGCAGAGCAGCTGCAGAATTGACCCCTATTCCCTGATGTAATCTATGGATAAAAATATTCCTTTAGGAAGAAGAAAAGGATGGAAATCCATGTTTACATTAAGGGCCAAATTCTGTCTAAATGCCTACATAGGATCTGATCCAGCTCCTGATAAGGTCAAAGGAATTCTCTCCCATTGTCATGGAGTCCTAAGCAGCAAAAATCCAGCCTGCATCTCACTGAATATTTCATTTTCTAAAAAAAAATGATTTGCATCTCTCTATGCTGCATCGTTGCCCCTCCTTTTCAGAATGTTAGTTTCCTTAGTAACAGAGTGGATTGTGTTTTAAATATAGTACAGTAATTGTGTTATACTCAGCTTGGCTCTCTTCTCTCAGAATATGCTTCTATTATCCCCCTACAAAACAACTTGCAATACAGTGAGCAAGTAAGAAGTAGCCAAAAGATACAAGGCAAAGATGCACACCCCAAAGAGAAGCAAATAGCTGAAAGGATAAACAGATGGGAGCACGCAGATGTCATTCTTCTCTTAGTCACAGGAATATTCTATATTATTTTATGGTGGGCTTACAGAGGATTTTTTGGCTGCAGGTGGTTTCCCTTTCTTACAAGTTTCCTTCAAAAAGGACTTATAATCAATTCTCCCATCCAGGTTGGGATCGTATTTAGACAGAATGTGATAAACCTCATCCTCATCTACCAGAAGGTTGCACAGCTTCAGGACAGACCTGAATTCTGGTAGAGAAAGGTAACCACTGCTGTCAGCATCCAGCTTCCTAAAGGCTCTTCGAAGTGTCTTCCAGTCCCCTCGTAACTAGAAAAAAAAAATGCAAATGATCAGGAATTTGAATTACTGAAGAGAAATAATAAACAAACTATGTGAGGGCACAATGCCCTTTTTGGTGTTTCATCTGAACTATGAAACTGTGAGGTTATGCTGCAGTCTGTTTTCCTGCATATAACTGCATATTCACAATGGGGAAGCACACCAGCAAGGTTCCTCACTAGCTCCTAATGTATTACATCATAAGCTGTAATAATAATTTGCTCTTTGATAGCTTCTTTCAACCAAGGAGTTCAACATGCTTTAACAACATTAAAAGAAAGATTTTAAAAAACAGTGGTCTGGAGTTTAGTCTCTCATATCAATAGTTAGGGATCTAAATAAATGGTCTCATTTTCAAAATTTTGGGGTGTCCACTTATCCCATTAAAGCCAAAGAGATTTGCTGAACTTCCAACACATTTGAAAATTTAAATCAGGTGTTCAGGTACCTAAATAAAGACTTAGAAATATAACTTTAGGCACTCAAGTGTAAGGATCTTGAGCTCTGAACTAAGCTATAATTGAAGCACAATGGAAAGCCATTGTCAAGGAGAGTTTCTCCTACTTGCGCTGCTAACGAGTGGCTTGGAACACTTTCTGAATAGTTTGGAACCTTCACTGGAGATGTTGTCACTGGCACTTCCTCCTCCTGCGCTTATCACTATGCTTTTTTCTTTTCTTTTTCTTTTCCAGCGTCATTTCATTCTAGACAAGTGCAAGTTCCAGTAAGGTGTTGTGTACGATCATGTCAAAGGAACATATGCTTAGGAATGAATAATAGTGGTACATCCTCAAATTTGAAAGGTCTGCCTACAAGTAAAATATTATGTATGTATAGGTGCAGGTAACGTATGTTTGCCTACTAAACTATCTATATTAACTATCTTAGATATTTCTAAGGGACTAACAAAGTCCATGGGAAACTAGAAACCCAACATCAAGACAAGATAAGTTTCTCTTTCATCATACAAACTCAGAAAAAAGAATTTCCCCTTCATCTCATAAGTCTGTTGCCTGTGGAGAACAAGGAACCCACCCTTGGTATAGTCATATAATCTGCAGACATAACAAGTACAGTCACTGTTGACTGTACAGATACAAGTACAGGGACTGTTGATGGCTGGCTGTGTGTGTTTTAATGTCTGGCTATCAGTTGGTAGGTACATTAGCCTTAGGTTGTAGTACAGACGATTATGCACTTTTAGATCTAATATATATGCAATTCATTATTGAGAAGAATTCACACTATTTCTCTCTAGGAAACACAATACAGTAATTCAACTAGCCACACAGCATATGAGAGCCACCCACTTTTTCTCGCAGTCTGCTTGTCGAACTGCCCAGCTCTGATGTCTACATTCCCATCTGAGATTGGTCTATCTCATCCTGAGATGCCTGCATAACAGTAGCCATGTTATTCCCATTCTTCCACCTTTGTCCCCGTAAAGCAAAGGGCTTCAGAAACTCCAAGTATGAAACACTTAAATAAATCAAAAAGGAAAACAAAAACAGCTCAGTTTAAGAATTATTACATAAGCTCCTAAATTATATTTTAATTGCTGTTCTCAGTTTAAACACTATGTTCCAAATTGTCCATCATCCTCAACACACGTTCAGCTAGAACTGGCTGGACATTTTTCAACTGAACATTCTTCACTGTAAAATGCTCATCACTAAAACCAACGTGTACTGCAGAAATGTTCCAGTTTTATGAACTTCCAGTAGACCACAGATTGGTTTCTCTCAGAAACCTACAGGGTTCCCTAGAAGGTCACTTGCCAGGCTGCTGGGAAACCCAATCTTCCAAGGTCCATGGTTCTGCCAGAGTCCCCGTTTCAGGGTGATTCTGCCACACAGATTTTTTCAAAGCTATGAACCTGTGGGTTTCCAGACTCACTGCTGCAGAGTCAGAAGTCTTTAGCAACCCTGACTTCCACCCTCTGAAACTCATGGTTTAGCAATCAATCATTCTCAGGTCCCATCAGTTCCTAGCTCTCTTTCAGTTTTTCAGAGAGTCCTCTGGGTTGAGAGTGCTGGGAACACAGAAGATGTCAATTTTGTTTAATAATTTTAAAATAAAATATTATATATAAATTCCCTTCCATGAGCATTTCAAAACACCTATTTTCATTATAAAATGAACAACTTTTTTTTTCATTTCATGGGAAATTCTAAATTTCAATCTTTAACCAACTCTACACATGGTCAATCAATATCTGTTCCATAACAGTATTCACTTGTTGGCTCATAACAATATAATAAGTCACTGCTTATATTCAGGGCAAAACCCAGCAACAAGGGTTTGATATAGTTTGGGGATAGGTTGATATAGTTGGAGATGGTCCTGCTTTGAGCAGGGGGTTGGACTAGATGACCTCCTTCCAACTCTAATTTTCTATGATTTTAAGGAAACCTTAAGAAGTGATTTTTAGCACAAAAGTCAGGCATAAACTTGTACTTGTATATAACAGTGTAAGAGTGGAAAATCTGACACACAATTTGATGACAATTCCATGGGCATTGATTCATCTGTCAGATTTAAAAAAAAATTTTTTGTATTTCTAAAATGTAAGATTATTTTAGTTAAGAATAAAAATGTTTAGTTAGCAGTAAAAATGAGAATGTAACCAATAGGTCTTGTGAGTCTGTAAACAGAGACTGAAATAGTAGCAGATTAGATCTAAATACTAAACACTTTTACTGGGATAGAAGTGTTAGATAGATGAGTGGGGTTTTTATGGTTCAATACTAGCAAAAGCCTCAGTGCTGATGCAGATCTATTGGTATCAAGGGACTCTTGCAGGTGTAGTTTATTTTGCTCAGGGATCTAGCATAAATTATACAGGCCAAAACACTCTTCTGCTGATATAAATTATATCTATAATAGCAGAATTTGCCTCTATGGACACATCTATACAACTATACCCACAAAAACTGTAAGCTTCCTCTAGTCTGGTGATTCTCAACCTTGTTAGACTCAAGGCACCCCTTGGAAAATGCCAGTGCTTAGCTTTCACTATTTTTTAACTACAGAAAAAATAATAGAGCAATTCTTCTGTTGTAAAGAACTCAGGAAAACCAGAACAAGTCACAATATTTTTGATAATATGGATTCCTACTTGAAATCGTTGGGTTTATTTTATGAATTATAGTATTTGCACAGCTAACAGTGCTAGTATTGTGCAGCACCCTGCATCACTCTTAAAAGGATCTCAAGACATTCTGGCTGAGAATCACTGAAATCGAGTATTAACCCTGAAACTGCAGTGAGAGGAGAAATGACACTTTACAGCTAGGGAGTTAGAATTATTGGACCAATCCAAAGGAGAATTTTGTCATGCACGGTGGAGTGCAAAACATGGCTTAGATATTCAGATTCCTGGGATTTATTTTATTTATGCCAAGCGTTCTGTCTGCTCTGATTTTAAACTACAGCAAACCTTGTTTGGAGGTTCCTTCTCTTTCCTCTAAAAGGAATACATTTTGAAGAAAAAGAAGACTTTGATACACAGGCCACAAAAGGCTTCATGATGAAATAACAATATTGCTTTTTCTTTTTAAAAAATATTATGTTTTAGATGCAGGTTGCTGCTCAGTAGTGATGCACTAAGAACACTGGCTAGAACTTAGCCATTATACAGGTAATGCAGGAGCTGGACAAATTTATTAAAAGAACCCTACCAGTGCAGCCAACACCTGAGTTGCTAAACCAATCTACCTCTGAAGGGCTTTTCAGCAGACACTGTACATTCCTTGAAATTATGAATCTTAGTTTTTGCAATTTGGAAGAAACACCCAGTTGGGACTAGAACAAGGAATTCAAGGAACCTAAGCAAGAATTTTCTGTCTTAAGGGGTGTATTAATCCATAGGGCCACCTACAACATTTAACACAGCTAATACTGTCCAGTATTATAGACCATTTATTATAGATCCATTTTGATCAAGGATAGATTGTTACAGACCAGCTCATTTTGACCTTTCTCCAGTTTTAACTCATCAACCATCCCCATGCTTTCAAATTTCTTTCCCAGCATTTCACATTCATATTCATTCCAGTGCGCACACAGCTCAGTCAAAATATCCTTAAATTCTTCTTTGGTGACAAAGCCTGTATGCTGGGGGTCCAGCTCTTCAAATTCCTTCTTGAGATCATCCCATAAATACTCCACCTAGAGGAACAAAACATTTGAAATCTCGCTGTGTTCAGAACCTATTCCCAGTCCTCTGACTAGCATTACTCAGCTGCATCCTCATGCAATTTGTAGGGCACATCTACACAACACGCTTAATGGCCATTGGACTAATTCTACTGTGCATTAGCGCATCAGACAAAACTGTGCTAATGCGCTAATGCACAGATTAGTCTAATAGGCATTAAGCTTCACCTAAAAAGCATTCATCTGCACTAATGCACAGTAGCACCGATGATGGCGCATTAATGAATGTGTAGACGTCCCCACAGAAGTCAGCATTTCCTGCTCTTTTCCTTTGGCAGGCTTACTGGTTCTAAAGGCAATAGGTTGTGGAGTCAGCAGTAAGATTTTCTGTACCTGGTGACAAGTCTTGTATATTCAGAATAACCCCACCCACCTCAGTGGCATAAATGAGAAGATCTGTTCTAATACAGTTTCTACACTTAGGGCTTTGTTACAGGTTACATTGTGAGCCATACAAACAGTGATCAACTTAGTGCTAGCTTGAAGTCACACCTTCAACATGAGTGGCACATCTGTGAGGAGTGGCCACAATTTAAGGGAATAGGAGCTGGGTTATGCAGATCAAGAGATAATCCTGGCCTGGAGTGGCGTAACTTTCAGCTGCATAACAAATGCTTTAATTCACTTAAAGATGTCAATGTGCAGATAATCCAGGAGTTAAAAATTTCAGAAGCCGCCCAAAATGAATGTGTAACAAGGCCCTTAGCATAGCTACATGCCTAAGCCAATATTTTAAAGGAATGATGTAGCCGAGTTCTGCTCTTGCATACACATATGTTTTTGCCTTTTTCTTGAAAAAATAATGTAAATATTTTAAAGTTTAAAAATTAATTTGAAAATGTGCCTTTACATATTTATTTGGTTCATACTTTGGTTACCATCTTGAGTCAGCATAACAGCACTATTTCCATACAGAGACCTGGAACCTGACAGCCCATTTCAAATAGATACTGTGCATAGAGAGACAATGATTTGCTTCCCACTTCCCTTTCACATTAGTTTCCTTTGATTAGGAAAGAAAAAGAAATCTTCTGTACTGCTGTCTCCTTTAAATTCAGACTCATTTTGCTAGGTCAAAGCTGGCAGCTTCTAAGCACCTGGGGAGCTGTACCAGCAGGGGATTCATGCCACTCAGGCCATGTCAGGTGAGTCACAGGCCACAGGCCTGCAGGTCAAGCGGACAATCCCTCACTCCACTGCACTGGACACCCACACAGGCGCCTCCCCACTGCTATACCATGTGGGCACGATCCCTCTGTACTGTTACAATCTACCCCACCGCATGTGGCACTGGAATCACCCTCAGCTCCTTGCAGTGTGCCACACTGCCCCACCCCTGGGGCAGAGGCAGGAAGTGGCAGCTGGAGGAGGGAGGGGGAACCTAGAGGAGTCATGGCACAGGGGGAACCCGGGGGCTGCACCTTAACCCCTCATGGGCCACATGCAGCCCACTGCCCACCATTAGACACTTTGTGTTAGGAGGCTATTCCACAGTGCTGATTGTATCTTTTTTCTTAATACACATAACAAAATACACATCATGTATTTTAAAGAAAAAAAGCTTGCAGATCTCTGTTTGGGACCCAGGTACCTATTTTGGAAATTAACTCACTATTTAGCAATCTTTTCTAGTGTTAGGAATGTAACTACACATACAGTATTGGAAGTAAAACCCCTGTGCGTAACTTCTTTAAACTGGAAAGGCTTACTTTTGCTCGCACCCTGTCCACCAACATGTCAGAATTGCAGCTGAGATTTTTAGAAGGCAGCCTGAGGTTACTGTCTCCTTTTGTGGGTGGACTAATCTAGGCACTGGGAAAGCAGAGCTGGGGGAGTAGCCAAAGTGTCTGACGAACTCCAGGTAGTCAAGGATGTTATCCTGATTTGTAATTAAAGTTTCCCACAGCCTGCAGATTTCACCTCGAGTTATTTCAGATTGGATGTCAAACCTTTCTTCAAAATGTTGAAAGAGAAAAATGTAATGAGATTAACAGCAGCAGCAGCAGCAACAACAACAATACATATTTTGAGGAAAAGTAGAAAGTTATTGTATTTACTAGCCACATATTGACAGTCTTACTCAGCAAACTACAAATGAGGTCACAATGTATTCAGGAGTTTTACTGAGTAAAGACTTCAGGTCTACATCAAAAAAATAGTAGAAAGATACAATGACAAATAACTGATTCTTTGGTGGAAAAATCCCTCTGAGCCAGGTCCTCGGCTAATGGAAAGGAACACAGCTCCATGAAAATC